CTTTCGTTTTTCTTTTGTTCCTTTGTGTGTGTGTTTATTTATATGCATACGTGCATACATTCATAAATACATATATGTATATATATATAGAAAGAGAGATAAATAGATAGATAGATATAGATATATTCATTTTAATGATATGCTTAAGCTTATGAAACTGAGAGACAAATATATATGAATATACTAAAATGAATGAAAAAGTCAGACAAAATGCTAAATATGTGACAAAATGATAACGGAAAGAAAATAGGAAATGAAGACAAGAAATCGACTAAACATTTTCCTCGCCCTCGTAAATTAAAATCAAGATACGGAACAAAGAGATAGCGTAGGCAACAAGCACACAAAAAGGATGTGCAGAAATAGAAAATAATCACATAAAACAGAAAATACAAAAAAATAACAAAGTATCTAAAAAAAAAAAGAATTTAAAACAAAAACAAACAAAAAACAAAACCTAAAAAGAAAGAAAAAAGAAAAACAAAGAATCTAAAAAAAAACACCAGAAAAACGAAAAACCAAAGAATCCAAAAAACACACAAAAAGTTAAGAACAACAAAAAGCGAGTCAAAGAAACAAAGACCTTAAAAGCAACAACAAAAAACGACCCAACAGACAGCGAAAGAAAACGGAAGGGCCGGACACACGCGTCCCCCAGACTCGTAAATTAAAGGCCGATTGAGTTATGTCCCACATTAGCTGTCACAGACCACATTCCGCGGGCATGACAGTATGCCGTGGCCCGCATGCGATGCCCATCACAGATCCTGGTCACGAGGCGGCCGAACCAAACTTGGAAAATACTGGTTCGAGAAAACCATTACCTCTTGGCTAATCGGTTTCCGGTTCTGCGCTTAACAACTTTGGGGGAGAACCTTTTGTGGGAATCTGATATCTTTCTTTTTTTTTTTTTTCAGGAAGGGTGGTAATTTGACGATTATGTGTTGGTCTATTTAGCATTATTGTTCTTTTTTTTCTTCTTTCTTTCTTTTTAGCTTTTAAGTCGTTTTTCCTCTCTCTCTCTCTCTCTCTCTCTCTCTCTCTCTCTTCTCTCTCTCTCTCTCTCTCTCTCTCTCTCTTCTCTCTCTCTCTCTCTCTCTCTCTCTCTTTTGTCTCTTACCTTTTAGTTGGTTCTATAAGATGAATTTAAGTTAATATCAAACCAAATTTCGGGGAACATCAAATAAAAAAAAAAATACATTTCCTCTTCAAAACCAAGGATATATAAACTTAGAGAAATCGAAGGTGCACTAATTAAATTTCGTATTTAATTCCTCTCGATTATCAACGACATATTTCCTTCCCCGAGCTTATCAAGAGCCGACTGTTCGCTCGAGACAATTATCATTATCATCTATAAATTCCTTCGCATATATTTTAATGCAGATTACTCCCATTCAAAGAGGATATTTCATTATCCAAATCGCGCACTCTAAAGGCCCTGTGATGTATGTGAATAACTTTTATCTCGGATGACTTTCACTTTTATTAAAGATATGCGCATTTAGCAAAGAAAAAAAAAGTTTTAAAAAGTGTTTAAAAAAAGTTTAAAAATATATATCTAAAAAAAGAAAGAAAAAACATAAAAGTAAAGAAATATATATATGTATAAAAATTCTATCAAGTCTTTTACTTTTTATTAGACAGAATGCAGTAAGAATGAGGATCTTACAAGCGCCAGTGTTTTCATATGCAAATATAACTGCCACTTTTTGTTATAATTTCCTCGCTGGATATTTGATTTATGAAAAGTGATTATAGACTCCTTTTTTATTGTATTAGACTAAAAATGAAGAAATAAAAATAATTACATGTGTTTGACGAAGGAGGCAGTAAACACAGGTAGAGAGAAAGGAAGCGATGATGAGGAAGAGGCAAAAGGAAGAGGCAAAAGATAGAAAAGAAGAAGAAAATACAAAGAACGAAGGGTTAAAAGCAAAAATAAATTGAGAGAAGGAATTGAGAAGTAAAACAGCAGAAAAGGGGGGATAATGATATAATAATGATAATGATAACAAAGATAAAAGTCAAGGAATGTAAGAAACCAACTTTTGTCATCGTTTTTTCTATCTCCCTTTTTCGTGTTTGATTTTTTTTTTTTTTTTTTTTTTGTCGATTAAATTTTTCCAAAATATATAATGTATTTTCTAGTATTTTTTCCTCTCTTCTTTTTGCTTCTTTGTCTATCTTTTATCATTCATTCTTCTCCTATTCCTATTTCTCATGTTCATTGTTTTGTCTCATTTCTCTTCCTCTTTTTCGTACTTTTTCTCCCATTCTTCCTCATTATTCTTTTCTTTTTTTTTGTTATTATTATTATTGTTGTTGTTGTTATTATTATTATCATTATTATTATTATTATCATTATTATTATTACTATTATTGCTATTATTATTATTATTCTCATCTTCCGCTTCATTCTCACTTTTTTTCTCTATTATAGTTGTGTTCATCTACTTCTTTATTCGTTTCTTTCGTGACTCTACAATTTTTTTCTTCA